AGGCGAAAGGCGCACACGCGCGTCCATCAACAAGTCGTTAACTTTACCACCTTTGTAACTCCCCTTGACTCGGGAAACATTCTGTTTTTTTTACTTCATGTACGTGTACTTTTTTTTGCTGAAGAAAAAAAAACTTTAAATTGCTTACTTAGATTAGACTCGCCGGTTATTTTCAATTAACAATTTTTTTTTTGCAGTTTCTTTCTATTTTTAGCTGACATAATTGAAAAATAATTTGCGCTACAAAATTTTCCATTTGGGGAGATGAACAAACTTGGCTAGAAGAGATTAGCATCATTACAAGATTTTGTGGCGCAAAGTTTTAAATCCGATTTGTTGCATAGTATTAAAATAAAAAATATATTTTTACTTACACAATCAACTTTTTTTATTGTTAATGGAAAAAAATTAATTTTTAGAATGAATCTAAAAAAAAATATCTGGTCTTTAAAGTCTGTGCAATAATCAAGACCACACAACATGGATGGGAAAGTTTTGCTTTTGAGTAGCGATAGTTTATTGATTTTATTTATTTCTTGGCACACTTAATAGTCAGGAATGCCATCTAATTAAATCAAACAAGATTCTTTTTTTTCTATTTAATTATTTATCTGTATTGAATGTTTTTAACTATAGATAGAAATTGTAGTCGTATGTTTTTGATTACATTCTGACGCTTATCAGCACAATTGCTTCGAGATTCTCTTAAAATTTCTAATGCGATGTTAGATAATGTCACAATTGACATTACCGACTGTCGATAAGTCGCCATCAATGACTTCTAACCCCACTTTGCACGCTACATCTTTAACAAGGTTTTTCATTATTAAAGTGAGTTTGCAATTTGCAGTTCTTTTTTGTCGACATTTTATTTTTTTACTGAATTGAAAATGGTATCTACGTCTCGTTAACATTCAAATGAAAAAATTAAATACGAGAAGGGGAAGAAAAAGTTTTAATTAGGATAAAATAGAAAAGATTCGTCATAATCCATTAAGGATGTTTCTCCACGTAAAGAAAACAAAAACTCGTAAGTTTTCCCCTTTCGTAAAAGTTTATATGAAATGAAATCTGCATTTCTAATTAAGCATCCTCGAAGCCATTGCAATTTTAATTATATTATTAATAAGATATTCCTGACACCTCGTTTCTATTATTGTACCATAAATTAATATTAAAAGAAATCAAAAAACTAAAGCATGCAATAGGAAATGGAAAAGCCTTTCATCCAGTTAGAACCGTTAGACATGTTTTTTTACATATATATTTACTTCGATTTAACACACAAGGATATTCGTATATTATGCATGTTTTATATATGTATACATAAAAAATACACCGATACATTTAAATATACATCCACAGATATATAATAAGGATTACACTTATGCCGCTATATTCAACGAGTAGATCAGAGCAGAAAAAAAGTGTATTTAAGATGGCATGGCGTCTACTCAAGCCAAGGCAATTGAGCTCCTGTTACTTTGCCTTGCCTTACCTGTCTGGCAAGTTTTTTTTAACCACAAACAACACCAAGCAAATCATTGTGCCACAAACGTGAGCTTCTTGGCGCCAACACTGTCCGTTCTTTAACACATATTATTATAATATACATATTCAATAAAATCGTCATTATTTTTTAAGAACCTGATAAAATGTCAATGTTAAAAGGTGTGCAGTATGTTCTAATGTCAATGAGATAGCGTGGAGAGAAATTTAAATTTTTTTTGCAGATAACATAAAAATAGTGAAGGTTATTTGTGAATTTGTTTGTCAATAATTTCCAGTCAAGTTTCTGATAGAATTAACAAAATTTTTTCCTTGATTCCTTTGGTTCCCTTGCTAAACTTTTGTTGTTTGAATTCATTGCCCGAACGCCAGAGATATTTTATGGAAAAATATTCAAACCGATTAATTAATGAAATTTACGCTAGCTCAATCTTTTCATGGAGAGCGCGTGGTAAGAGAAATCATCAGTTAGTTTTAATTTTGTCTTTAATAAACAAGAAAATTACAGGTCCAGACGGGACCTGTTCAACATGTACAGAAATGTCGTGTCGTGAAACAATGCAAAATGAAACACATCTTATTTTGATCAATAATTATCAGGAGACAACACATTCAATTATTTTGAGACTCACCGGAGATACGCCGATGTCCCCTCATAGTTCCTCGGCTCATCTTGACAGGAATAGGCACAATTAATTTAAGTTTAAATGAATTTAATATGAAATGATCTATTTTGACCTCTATCTTATGTCGACGCCAAACTGAGAATGAATTAAATGGCCGACGGGGACGCTGAAGCAGACGCGCATCTCGGCTTCGTGGTGAGTCTCACGCGCACTCGTTACAAGGATTTTCCGATGGTAATCGATGCGCGACAGTCAGTAATTAGGTAATTTATCGACTGTCGGAAAGAGTTCGTTTAGTCTCCGCGAGGGGCACTGCTCGACGACGTCTGGTCAGCAAGATGTCTGCGGCCAGTGTTTTGACAGGTGATGTCTCCGTCGATGGATATTCGTATTTCTGTCACTCAGTATGACCGGTATTTATTTCCAGTAATAAATACAAGGAAGCACATTCCTTGTTGGACAAATACGAAGTAATATCTCGGCAGTGATCCCAAAGTTTGGAAATCAGGAACTCGCAGTGATAATTTTTACATGAAATAATAAATCGAAGTATCAGTTTTCTTATGATTAATTAATTGTTTTGACCAGCGATCTGACGGTTCGCAAAAATTACAAGATTTAATAAAAGAATATTTCTCGGAAGGAGAAAATAATCAGTGATTCTCGATTTGGCGTGATTATTTTAGAAATTTACAGTTTACTATTGTAAACAATAGTTACATTTAGTTACATTGACATTTAGTTCATTTGTACACGGCCAATAAAATGCCACGTTACAATACATATAATTTTCATCTGTTAAAAATTAATATAAAACTTATATACAATTCACTAACACTCATAATACAGAAAGGCTTGTTCAACATTCGTAGTATTTTTCAATTGAGGGAACTTTGCTCAAAACCTTTGTGTGCTATCAGTTAAGTCGAACCCTCGGTCGAACCCTTTCTTAATATTTCTTAAATTAAATCTTAACTTGGTTGCGACAAAATATATTTAATTAAAAGTTAAGACCAAGTTATCAAACGAAGGTTATTAGACAGGCAATGCAGGAAACGCAATTACCGACCGAAGATAATACAAGTTCTACCTTACCAACCGATGGTAATGACAATAAAATAATAATTGTAATTTTGGCCAGTTTTATATAATCTAGCTTATTGTAAGCAACCAGGAACTAACTGTTAAAATTAGGTTAATTGACTTCTCACTTCGGTCCCGTATGTGGGTCATGCGGGATTTAGTTCATCCCAACGGCATCATTAGAGTCTCAATATCTATGATGATTAATTGCTTCTAGTTGACAGATTGTGATAATTATTTAAGAAACATTTCCAAACAACGTAATTTTTAACGTAATTTTTTAACAATGACGTTTAAACTTCTCTCTTCATTGATCATTAATTGAAATGGTCCCAAATTTTATTCGGACTCACGAGAATGTCCCAAGTGAATTATCTACTAAATTACAGATTTTAGTTATCTGCGTTCGGCAATTATCCACAGTCGGTAAAACAGAACACCGTCCAACTACTTCTGATATTGATTATAACATTGAAGACAATCACTGTTTTTTACAGGACCAAAACAAAGAAAAGTTTTTGTATTCCTGGTGCTCTTGAATATTCGGGATTCACATCCAAATATATACAGCAGAAAGCTCTTCTCCTGATGAATTCTTTGAATCATCATGTTGTGATGAAGGCCACTGATGTTCCAAAGCATAACGTCACTTAATTAATGCACTAAAACACTTGTCTAGGTGAATACTCAATAGATGACGTTTTATCTGCTCTTATCTATACGTCAGAAGGTAAGGAATAAAAATGTTATTAAAATTATTAAATACAAAAAGTTTGATAATATCTTTACATATGTTTATACTTATTAGAAAAAAATTTATTCTAGATGAGCTTAAATTTTCCAATTATAATAAAGAACTGAATATTACTGTAAAAAAAAGTTTACTTAATTTAATTTTTGTATGTAGAATTTACATTTTAAAAGGTAAATAAAAAGTATGAAGAGTATATATAGAATGCTTTTAGTACATCTACACTAAAATATCAGTAGTTTCCGAAAAATAATTCCATCTTCGTTAAGGTAAGACTATTTTCAATATTTTTTCAAAAATCCACCATTGTCATGATCAGCAATCGTAAAAATCCCCAAGTAGTAATTTTAAAGCCAATAAGATCGATTTTCAAAATATCGTCCCCGTCCGCCATGTTGGATCCACCATTTTGAATTTTACATTTTGATACAGTTTCGTGATTAGAGTGCCAATAAGCAGACATTTAATCCCGTTCTTAAAGAAATCAGGAAAAGAGAAATCAACCAATATATAAAACAAGAAAATATAGAAAGAAAATTTAATCAATACTATTAATATTTCACGTTTACTAAGGTAAAAATTTAACAGCTGAATTATTAATTAAACTGCAGAATTATTTATTAAAATTACCCAACGATAAATATCAAGTTTATATTAATTATGAACAATAAAATGATGTTACAGCGACTTGCCATAATAACAAAAAGTTACATGACAGTTCGACAGCATCAATGCCACGAGAGCTCACCGCCTAGTTTTATTATTGGTTTTCTCTCAAACTTGCATCTGTTCTACTTTTATTTTCAAAAAGAAAATGAGATTAATATTAAAACGAATGCTTTGATATTTTACTATAAATAAGAATTAAATTCCTGCAGAACAAGTATAACAGAAAATATATTTATTATTCTTTTCTTCATTCGAGAATTGTAAATAAATTTTAATGGAAAATATGTTTCAGAAGAAAAATAGCATTTTTATAAAGAAACAACTTTGATAACTTGCGGCATAATTATTTTCAAAAGAGAACAATGATTTACATCAGTATTTTACTTTGCGCATTTATTCCATCTTTGACACGTACATTGCAGGTAATTTTTTTATTTTAATTCCATGAGTTTCTAAAAAGCTCTTCCGAAATATGATTGTAAAGAGTTTCTATTGTGGATTTTTAAATGTAAGGCAAAATATTTTTTTCAGATTCAACAATTGGCTGATTATGATATGCAGAGACTGTTCTATGGTGATCAAAAGGAAGGTAATTATTATTATTAACTGAATTTTATTAATTTACAACTAAATATTCAAATTCTGTTCTTCTTAATATAATCGACGAATGAAAATTGTTTTCAATTTCAATAATTAAGCATCCGATTATGAAGTTGTTTCTGTGAAACATTCGTTGAACAAACGAAGCACTACTGAACTTTCCATCAATGTTAAAATTAATGGCGTTGACAAGCAGTTTATTCTACAGAGCGTAAAAGGCTATTTTGCTGGTAAAGATACAAAAGTTTGGCTAGCGAAAAAAGTTGGAGATAAATTTGAATACACACTGCAAAAGGATGTGAGTGAATCTTATATTGATATCGAATCTAAAAATTAGTACTTAAAAATATTTTTTGTTTTTTTGTGTCTAGTTTATGGAAAAAGTGAATATCTCCTTTTATCATGATGAAGAAACACAGTCTACAATAACTCATAGTGTAAATGAAGAAGGAATTTCAGAATTTGTAAGTAGTTTTAGAATTAGTCTATTCTTTTGGGAAATTGTAATTATTTAGAATAATTTGACCATTATGTACGTAGACTAAAATTTACTCCTTATGTGTTTAGACAATCCTTATTGTAAAGCAGATGCAAAATAATTTTTATTGAACTTTTAGCGACGAGACATGACTGACACAATATACCTGGACTCTTTTTCGAATTGTGCAGCATATAAAACCAATGTGAATTTGTAGAATTCATTGATTTTTGCTGTTTGGTTGTTTTTTAGTGAAAAGCCCCGCCACCACGACAAGGTCTACGAAATATATCCATGATGTCAACACTGTTTGGCACTGGATAAGCAGTTAAGCACTGATCAACATATCGATGACATCTATGATGTTTGGCAGTGGACAACCATCAGTGGAGTGAAGAAATCTTATTAATAATTTGTTTTTGAATATTATTTCCTTGATAAGTGTGCTATCCAATTAAAATCTAATTCCCCTCCTTATCCCAAGGATGCTTAAATAAAAAAGTCTAAAGAATGTTACCAAAACTTTAGGGATTTTTCAGCGGACTCTTTTCTGCAGAAATTCTTATGGTTAGAATATAAAAACTGATTCCATAATATTTTTTTGTCCTACCTGCACGAAAAGTATGTCATTTCGGGCACTTAAAGTGGGCGCAAAGTAACTGATTCTCGCCCGGGGAAGTGGGCGCAAAAGTTCTTTTACGCCCGCTGACGTCACACAAGCGGGAGCAAAAGTACTTTTACGCCCGCTTGCTGTTTTTTTGCGCCCGCTTCGCTCATGCCCTCAATGCCATACTTTTCATGCAGTTAGGACAAAAAATTATGTTCGCAACATGGGCGCAAAGGTGATTACGACTTTGGCGAGATTTCGGGACCTCGGAGACACTTTCGCACCCTCGGCTTCGCCTCGGGCGTGAAAATGTCCCCTCGGTCCCTTCATCTCGCCATCGCCGCAATCACCTATTTTGCGCCCTTGATACAATAATAACTATTAAACCACCAGAATTTTTGGAGAGTTATGAGTCTTCTGAAGATAAGCGGAAAGTTTGCGGGCACTCTGCGGACTTTTTTACTTAGGATATTCCTAAAGACGTTCTGGAGACATTTTAAAGATGTCTCAGGACCAGACATATGAAGCAACAATGCACTGCAAGTTCACTAAGGATTGTACAAATGAAAGGCGTCGAAATTATTCAACATCACTGCGTAACTAAAGAACTTATCCTTCCAGAATGGTATTATTGATTTTGACAAAGTAATACGTCCGTTTGAATTCGATAGACGTAAACGTCGGACTTCTTTCGAAGAATCGTTTGTTAACATAAACAAGGACAACGTTAAAAATCATCATATAATTCATAAACGTGAATTACACACCAACAGTAAGGTAATTATAAATAATGATCCTGACGTGATTAGGACGGAGGTTGACAGAGAAAGGCAGAAGACGGAGGACTCAGTTCTAGAAAAGCCAGATGCAGTGTATCCGGAAATTCTAGTCTATGTGGATACAACTCTCTTTAGGTAAGTTACAACAATTTTTCTATCTGCAAGTAACTAAAATAACAACAAAACATTTTTCCCTCTCATACCTTAAAACCCAGATTTAATAATAATTAAAAAAAATTTTCAGTTACTTCAACAATGATATTATCAAAACTTTGGCCTATACCCTAACACTATGGAATGGAGTAGATCTTAATTATCGAGACGTAAAGAATCCTTTAGTTCGTCTAAACATTGCTGGAATTGTTTTGTGTCAGGTATTTAATTACAAGATTTAGGAAAGTTAACGACCGTTGTTTTGGGTTCCAGTTGAATAAGCGTTTGTTAAGGGTGAAGGATTATTGGAACAAAGTTTAAGAATTAGAAGAAAGGTGCTCAGTGAAAGTTGAACACTTTCTTATTTAATTGAAATAATAGATTGATAAATAATTATTTTATTCCTTCATAAAATTTTAAGATTAATCAAGAATTAGTTTTAGGTCATAAATCTATTGCCCTTTATAATTCAAATTGAAATTACCTATTCAATAAAAGAGTAAGGATGATTTTATTAATTCAAAAATTTTTAAGATGAAAAAGAGAAATGAAATAGGTATAAACTATAAAATTATAACTTCTGCTAGAATGAAAGTAAAACGAATATCGGAAAATAATGAATTAATGAGTGATAGTTTAATTAATTAATTGAATCATAGAAATTAAATGTAATCCAAAATTTTATGAATTCAGATCGAAATTAATATAATTAATCTTTTATGAATTAAAATAAAAATATATTGTAGATTAATCAAAATATTTGTAACATTATTAATTGTCAAACGGTAAAATAAATTTCTGCAAATGACTGGGGACTAAAAATAATTCAATAACCAACTGTATACTTCTTTCAAAATTTAAGGATCAAATTATATCAACGAATCCTTTTGCAATAACAAAACAGACATTAGTGGAGTTCAGTAAATTTATGTACAATGAAGATGAATTTAAATTGGGAGAAGATTACGATATTGCTGTCTTATTAGGAGCAAATCCAGACTTCGACTATGGAATAGAAGGCCTAGCACATCTGTCAGGAGGTTGTGTAATTGAAGAACAACTAACTTTATCCACAATGCTTGTTGTCGATAATTCCAAATTGTCTGGAATTAATACTGCTGCACATGAATTAGCTCACTTGTAAGTATTCTAATACAAATGTGTAACCCTAACAGTTAGGGTTACAGCATCCGAACATTCAGGATATTCTAATACTAAAAATATTAGCATTACTAGTTCATCATTTTAGATTCGGAGCTCCTGAAGATGGTGAGTATGGTGATTCAACAATAAATGCACCGGGAGCGGAAAATTGTTTCTATGATGGTGGTTACCTCATGAGCATTAGAGCATACGACAGAAGACAATTCAGCTTTTCTTCTTGCACCAAGGATGCTATGTCGTACTTCTTCAGGTACAACTTATTTCTATTTTTATATTATTTGCAGGGACAATCATAATAGGAGATTAATTTTTAGACGCTTTACGTGAATTAATCTTCTATTTTAGACGTAAAGTATCCTTCAGTTTGTTTAAACATTGCTGGAATTATTTTGTGTCAGAAGACAATTTTAGATATACAGAATCCTTTAGTTCGTCTAAACATTGCTGGAATTATTTAGTGTCAAATGACTATTTTAGACTTAAGGAATCTTTTAGTTCGCTTAAACATTGCTGGAATTATTTTGTGTCAGGTATTTAATTACAAACTTTAAGAAAGTTGATGGTTGTTGTTGTTTTAGGTATCTAGTTATATACGCGTTTGTGTGGGCTAAAGGATTTTAATAATAAAGTTCGTTGGGGTCCTACTAATAAACAATTGAATCCCTAATGTGGTTGCATCCCTTAACGAAGTAAAGAATTAGTATTTCAAATTTAAATTTGTATTCTTTCATGTCTAACTAAATTTCAGTCACGAAAGAGCTAAATGTCTACTTAATAATCCAGCTGTTAATAGAACAGACAAACAAATATTGAGAATATTACCTGGTAAATATATGACAATAGATGAACAATGCCAAAAAAATGGATTCCGAAAAGCAGTCAATGTAAGTTTGAACAATTTTTATAAAATTCACTTCCGTATGTTTTACATTTTCCTCATTTACATTTCCCCACTTTGTTATTTAAAATACGTGCAAATCATTCAAGATGAATCCAGACATTTGTACAAATATTCAATGTGCCAATGATGGGAATATTCCGGAAGAATTAAATGTAGCGGCACTAGAAGGAACTCCTTGTGATTATGAAAAAGTAAGATATTAATGAAAAGTAATTTATCAAGAAATAAATAAAAGGAAATTTTCAGTTCTGCTTGCGGGGAGAGTGTGTAAAAGTAAAATTGGATGAAGACGTTAATACTAAGATATTATTCCCTCGACAATTTACATTTCCTAAATCTGATGGAGAGAAATGCAAATATGAAATGGATCCATTTACAGTTAGTTAGAAAAAATTATAAAATTACTATTACAAAGATGTACGATTTTTTATCTAACTATATTTTTAGTCCTTTCTACAAGGTTGTGAATTACACTTTCCTCATTTATTCACCCAGAAGGAAAAATAAGATTACAAATAGTTTAAACAGAAGATGGAATTTATTGTATCAACGAAGTAAGAAGAACCAGATCATTTATTTTTATATTTACTAAAAATTCTCATTGATATATTTTGCTTCTTAATTATTCTAGTTCGAGAAGAAAAATACAGCTTCTAACGACTCTCGAAGAATAACAATAGTATCGTTATTTTACTCGCACCGATAAAACTTTTAGTTAACCTGATGAGGATGACAAATTCATGTCATCAAAACGTCGTCTACTTAAAAGCAATAAATAAAATAATGACATGAATTGTGTTATTTTATCCACCTTCCATTGGACCAAATCAGAGATCACTAGATATTTGAAAATCAATTGTAATTTTACAATTTCTGATTTGTTCTCACTACTGGCGAATTTTTTTCACAATAGATAAATCGTCAGCACATGAAAGCAAACAATTATTAATTGCAGTGAACAATACAAAAATCGACGCGGATATTGGCAAAATGGTGTGTTTATTTTTGAAAAAATTAAATGAATTCGCAAATGGGTGAATGACTTCTTGTGTACGTGGAAAACAGTTACTTTTTATAGCAGTCAATTGCAATTTCAAGAGCAGAATAGTCGGAAGATTTAAGGCCACTTAGATTATTATTATATAGAAGAAAATGGAAACGGACCGTAACAAAATTACATAAGCCTCCAATCAGATATTGGAAATCTTTGTAACATTCCTGCATTATAAATCGTAATTTCGATCTTTCGACTTTGCTATACGATATATTCTTAAGATCGTGACCTTCGCACGGATCGTTATTACATGCCGTAAATCATCTTGGAAAACAACACATCGTTCCTCGCGTGTGATGCTGCGGGAGTAATATTACTTGGGGATGTGCCTGATGAAAGCTATGCGGCCTTTTTCCCTAAGGATTCAAAGTCTCTGCGGCTGAATCCTCATCGTGGCAAACAGGCAGGCAGCAGCAGTGCGCTTATGGGTTTGTGTGATTTCATCTCTCATTTGACGGAGTTGTGGTGTTGGATGCTGGGGGTGGAAAGGTGGGTGGGTGGGTTAAAGGCTGAAGCGCGATATCATATCGCTTCTAAAATCAGACGCAAGGGTCTCTCACCCTTTCCGCAAGAATCGACCGAATGCTTGTTTATTCTTTTCTGAATAGATGATACAGAAGAAATATATATGACATTCGCGTGCTAAGGACAAACATTATGAATTATGTGGGCGTCTCAAGGGTGGGCTAATACATCATATAATATACAAGATTTCGAATTTTAAGCAGTCAATATTTCTAATCAATTATTATAATACCATTATTTTGTGTTTACTTTCATTTGGATTAACTGCAACGGAATTCATTATTATTAGTAGACATGTGATAAATTACTATTCATATCAAATGTACACAACTATATCTAATTTCCTATTCTCTTCGGTTGAAATTACTATGAATTACAATTCCTTTGCTAATCGAAGCTGTAAACAATTATAATTAAACACATCGTGATAAATACATTCAACAGAAATTGTAATAAATTGTAATCTCCATTCGGAGAAATTATGATTGACAACTTTGATGTCATCTTCCAAATTACTTCAACGATTAATTGCGATTTTTGACTAGGGGAATTAGAGTTAACCGCCCTTTAGTAAAAATAGTTATAATTAATTACAACTCCTCTCAATTGTAATTAAATTGATTTGCAATTTCCTTAAGTTGAAATTTTCATTAATACTAATTCAAACATCATCTGCAACTATTACTAATTGTAATTCTGACGTCTTTTCACTTACTCCAACTGGTTAATTGTTAATTTTAGCATACGTGGAATTAAAATTTAATTCCTTTAGTAGAAATATTAAGAATTAATTGCAACTCCCATTGGTTGCAACTGTATTGAATCACAATTACCATTAGACTGAATTATTACTGATTCTGTTTTCCTTATCAGTTGGGCCACTATAATTACTTTAGGTTGAACCTAACATTAAGATTATCATCAAAAGGAATTGCATTCAATTGCACTTTTCATCAGAGGGAACAACTACTGTTTGTAATCATCACATCATAAAATTTGCATCATTAATTAATTATAACTCTCATCTCTGAGGAGTAACTAATTATTATCCCAAATCATCGTAGGCATCTTCAAGAATTACTCGTAATTTTAATTTTCATCAGTAGGGACAACAGTAGCTGATTGTAATCATCACTAATTCTAAATTGTTTCTTCTAGAAGTTAATTCTGAATTGCAGCAAGAGGAATTGTTGTAAAATTTCCTTCAGTTCAAATTATTAGGTTAATTGACAAAACCATCCGTTGTAACTAAATTTAAATTCCTATTTCCATCAGTAAATTAATATCAACATAATTCCTCTGCTTTGGGAGAAGTAATTATTTATAACCCGAAACATTCGATTGTAATCAGCATCAGCAGGAATTGTATTAATTGTAATTTCCATCAGAGGGAACTACTACTGATTGTAATCATCATATCTTTCAAATTATTCCCACTGGTTGATTGTTAATTTTAGCAAACGGAATTAAAGTTAAATTCTCTTGGATTAAAATTACTAGAATTAAGTCCAACCTTCATTAGTTGCAAATACCCTAATTTCAAATTCCATCAGTTGCAATTATTACTAATTCTAATATCTCTATCAGTTCGAACTGTAATTAATTGAAGATCCTACCAGTTGATACAGTATTAATTGTAATCACAATCAGCCAGAATTTTCATCATTATTTGTCGATTTCCAGAAGCTAAACAGTAATTAATTATCACCTCGCATAATTTATTCTTTTCTGCAATTCCAAAAAGATGCAACTAAATAATTGTAACAAACATTAAATGGACGTTTTACTATCAAAATTGTAAACATTAGTTAAAATTGTATACTATTTATTCCGTGAAATTAAGACACATTAATTGTAATTCCAAACATTGTAATTTACACAATACCATAATGAATTGAAATTCTCATGTCGTTGGTAGTATCTAATAATTCCTGTTATTATCCAAGTAAACTATTGTCTCTATTCGTTGAACCAAATCAACGTCAATTAGATTTACTGCCAATGAATTAGTAGTTACAGATTTTATGAATTCCGGTATCCATCAGTTGTAACCTAATAATGATAGTAATTCCTGTAGATGCAGATATAATCACTAAATATTGTAACTTTCATTGCGGGAATTATTACAAACCTTTCGTTACTTTTCCTTTATTGTAATTTTCATATATATAAATTGTAAATAGTCAAATAATTTATTAATAATAAAATGTAATAATTGAAATTATAGAAAACTATAATGTAATATAAATAATAATAATTGCTTTACTCATTGGAACTGTAATTAATTACTATAATTCTACCCATTATTGTAATTATCATCTTTATGAATTATATTAGTACTTGAGAGATGCGCAGTAGTCTTAGGGGCAGTTTAGACATGCGCAGTAGTATTAGATGCACGTTAGACATGCGCAGTAGTGTTAGTTGCACTTCAGATATGCGCAGTAGAATTAGGTGCAATTCAGACATGCGCAGTAGTGTTAGGTGCACTTTAAACATGCGCAGTAGTATTAGGTGCATTTTAGACATGCGCAGTAGTGTTAGGTGCACTTTAAACGTGCGCGCAGTAGTATTAGGTGCACTTTAGACATGCGCAGTAATGTTAAGTGAACTTTAAACATGCGCAGTAGTATTAGGTGCACTTAAACATACGCAGTTGTGTTAGGTGTACTTTATACATGCGCAGTAGTATTAAATACACTCAAGAGAGGCTAAGATTCGCTGAAACAAATTATAATCGTTTGAATTTACTACAATTGAATTAGTAGTTAATTTAATTAATTCCAGTGTTCATCAGCTGTTACCTAATTGATAGTAATTCCCACAAGAAGGCCAATTTTTAATTCTTACAAAAATCACTAATTTTTATAATTTTAATTCCTGGAAATTATTGTAATTTCCATCGATAGGTTAATTTTTTTACTGATTGGAACTTTATTTAATTTTATTTCTACCTTATTGTAATTTTCATTGAGAGGAATTGCCTCAATTTTAATTTCCATCAGTTGAAACAAGAATTGATTGTAATTATAGCAGCTTACAAATTACTTCTACTCATTAATTGTAATTGTTGTCAATTAGGTTATGAAATTAATTATAATTAATAACAAATTCTGTCTTATGTAAATATACCTGAATTCCTATTTTCAGATTATTAATTTCCATAATTCCTATTGCAAATTGTAAATTAATCATATCTGTTGGTTTTATCAAAATTAAATTTCTAGTCATTTGGAACTATTAATAATTATAATTTCAGTAACACTTCGAAGTGTAATTAATTGAAAGTGAATGTTGCAGTAACACTTGATTCCAAATGGTATGAAGTGTAATTTAGTTGGGAATTTCGTCACGACATGAAGTTACACAAGTTTCCATCAAGTTAATTAACATATATACAACGTTTATCCTAATTCTCCGAAATTATCAATAAACACCGAAAAAATTGAATTAACAAAGAAACAAGTTCCGCACAGAAAGTGCAAATGACTCTCAGGTGCTATGTCGTGATTGTGCATTTGCCGTGTTTGTAAATTGTAAAGTTTTGTTTCTCTCCCTTGGAAAGTTTACCACCTCGACCAAGTCATTGCATCCCTTTGGCGAACGTTTGAA